AGAAAGAAAGAATAGGGAAAAAGGACGCAGAGCTCGTCGGTGCACATTACGCTCGCGTAATCAGGTCGTGAGTCTCCCTGGTCTGCGGTGCGTTAAGACGGCATTACGGGGGATTGTTGCGCGTATCTCACGTCTCTTTCTCGCTTGCCGTAGTCATGGTGCGGTGAGGAGGTGACGAGGCGAGGGGAGCGTGCCTTAACGGTTTTCGACCGGTTTTTTGTACATTCGCGTAGAGGCGCATTACGCAACAGGAGACACGCCGTCGAGGCATTGCCAAGGTGAGCAAGAGAGAAAGAGAGAGAGAGAAAGAGAGAGAGAGAGAGAGAGAGAGAGAGAGAGAGAGAGAGATGCTCGTGCACAACCATATCGCCATGCTACATGCTATACTGGGAAATAGTCCCGGGAGCTTATCGGTACCTGCAACTAGCTGCATAATGCATTTAGAAGAGTGCGAGGAATGAGGCAGGAAGACTAGCGAGGCATACGCCGAGTATTATAAAGATTCTTTACCTTTTTCGCGCCACTATTATTTCTTATGCTCTGCGGCTTTTCGAGCTGCGCGACATTAATATCTGCCCGGAACAATGCATCCATGCTGACCTTCTCCAATTGATCAATCGATCATTTTCCCGAAGCGTTTACATTACACATCGTCGTCAAGTGTACATACATATAATCAATTGTTTAAATTCGAAATTCAATTATTTTCATTAGCATTACAATTCGGCTGACAACTCGGCCCAACAAATATTCTATTCTTACCGAAATATCGGCCATATATATATATATATATATATATATATATATTGGTTAAACAGCAATTTTTCGATCTCATAGAATCCATATCCATACTTAATTATTACACAATCATTACAATTAAAATATAATTTCATTATAATATGTATTTATTGAAAAATTTAAGCCTGTAGAAACTATTATGGATTAACTATAACAGCTTTGTGAAAGGCACGGGTATCAGTGAATATTTTTTAAGTAAAAGATAAATAAAATAATAATAATAACTTTCTAAATTCACTTATCAAGTTATATTACTTTATATATCTGAATTATGAATTTTATCAATAAATAACTTATATTAATGTGAAAACTTGATCAAAATTTGTATTGTTCGTGCCAAACGAAAAAATATAAAAAAAATATAAAATAAAAATAAATAAATAAAATAAATATATAAAAAAATATACATATATTTTTTTGTTCACAAAAACTTTACGCCATTTATTGTTATCTAATATTAATAATTATGAATTTAATGAATTTGTTAATTTTATGAGAATTTTATAAATTTTGAATTTAATAAGGTAAAGTGAAATAGGATTGATGAATTCGAATATAAAAAACGATTCACTTAAATACTAAAAGTTACTGATCTGATACAGAAATATGTATCATGTAATAAGTTAAGCCTGTAATATTAATAGAATTAACATATTATTTATAAATAGAATAAGATATTATAATTATCGAAGTAATTAGATGAATGAGCAATATTTTTAAATCTACATAAGATATATATAGTTATAGTTTAAAAAAAAAATCAATATGAAATGTTTACGAATAATTTTCGTATGCATTAAACAGTAATCGTTAAGATGATTTGTGTAAAAAAAAACAATGAAAAATCAAGTTGAAATCTTTTAAAAGGTGTATTAGCCAGTATTACTTTATTCATTTATATGAAATAATTGAAATGCATTATAAAATAATTAGTGAAATATTTGCTCGAAATATATTCATTTATAGAATGTAAATATATTATTTAATAGATATTATATCGATAATATATATTTTTATTATTATCTATGTTTCGTTATACATCGTTTTTAATATTAATGAAAATTTAAATAACATTAATTCATTTCAATAATAAACATTTAATTTCTTTAAATGGAATAAATAATTTAAATTTTAAATAATTCTAGAAAATTAAATTGAAAGTAAATTGATGAATATTAATTATTGAATTTGGATAATACTTTTATTTAAAACTATTACCAAAAAGGGAATAATTTTAGGAAAGCAGAAAATTATTGTAAATACGTTTTTGAAATTACCTAGCAAATATAATCAACATATCAAATATTATTAAAATACTATTATATTCTATGGATATGCACATTTTCTTAATACAGCTGTTTTTAAAACCAACAATAGGTAGCGTTGAATGATTATCTCTATTGTCTCTATTATTTTCAGATTAGAGAGAGCAGTAACAAGAGTATATTATCGTTTTCCTAAATGCGCTACGATAACTAAACACACTGTATTATTATGGTAAGGAAAAAGTATTAAAAAAAACTTTCAATTCATCTATAATTAGAATAAAGTTAAAAGTACGAAGCTCGCAAATTCCTTATAAAATACAAATTTTGTTGTTTTTTTTCTCGAAAAACCGCAACATTGCAGAAGATAAAAGAAAAAACATTTTTTTCTGCGTTAATGCATTAGAATTTGATTTTTTGTTGTATTTATAATATAGACGAGTAAACGCTGACTAATTAAGAGTGTGAAATTCTATACACTAAATAAGATTAAATTTCATTCTTTATTTAAATAGCTTTTTCATTCATAAAACACAAAAATAGACGTACCAAAATATTTATGGACATAAATGGTAAAAAATCTGAAAGATCATTAGATTTTTTATAAATATTTTTTCTACTTATCTAGTTAATTTCATTAGAATACATACATTAGAAAAAAGTAAATAAAATTACTTTATTCTTCTTCTATTAGTGTCATGTATGAAAGTATAACGAATGTACATTAAAAATGTGAAGTAAACACGTGTAATGTTCATCATGAGCTAAATATTTGAAAATATTTTATATTATTAAAAGTACTATTATTAATCTCAAGAGAATAATAACCTTTCATAATTTATAAATAACACGTAGTAATGCATCCACAATTGAAAAACGTTATAAACAACAACCCGACTAGCAGGGCACGCCCCTGGGAATCTTTTCTGAATGTTAACTAATAAAACTTACGATATGAAACAGCGAAAAGTGAAAAAGTGACAGTTTCCGAGTATAGAAACGGTGCTCCATACATGTAATGCAAAGTGCGCCGCGCGTGACGCCTATTAATTGCATGTACAAGTTCCTGCAACACTGCTCAGCTTTGCTACTTTTTTCATCCTTTTCCTTCCGCGCCTTCCTCATCACCCTTAACTGCTAGAGAATCGTTACCTCTCTCGCTCTCTCTCTCTCTCTCTCTCTCTCTCTCTCTCTTTAAAATGATAGCTATAATTGTACGTAGAGAGCTGAGTGGAATCTACTATTTTTAATGTACTATACGATTTATGAATAATACACGAGAATTGTCGCATAAAGTAAGTAAACGGTGCTTATATGGATTATAATTTACTGTTATCATTAACATTATATGTAATACCTTATATGTTTGTTTAAAAAAAATGTGGTGGATTTTAGAGGATCGGGAAACTTTTCCTCAAAATTAATTGTTTTTGGTATAACCTTATATCCATTCGTGAGATGTACGAATGCGTATGTATCATGTATTGTTTTAGATTTTTCATCTTCGTTTTAATATTTCCAAAGTTTTACAATTTCATATTTTACACATCGAGTAATAAATAATCATTTCTGAAATTGAATGATGTCCGTGAATGAAAATCTCAATAAAACTAAATGCCAGTACATATTTTCATTTTTAGTGAAATTAAATTTTATAAATTTTACTTATATTACAATATTTTTTTATTTTGTTTATTCTTTACAGAAGCAAGTAAAAGCGCAAGTTAAAAAAATAATAACACGTTGCTCACTTATTTATATTGATCGATATAAAGTAAATTGCATAATTCGTAAAAGTGGGATGGAACAAGTACTAATTTTATACATAATTATATATGATTCAATGATTAACGTTAAATTTCTTAATGACTATCAATACAATTATTTCATAATTTTAGCTGCGCAAAGGTTTTCCTATTAAATGTGATACAATAAGTAATAAAATAAAAAGGAGCTTCCACTTATATGTATATATTAGTACGTGACTTTTAAAGAATATTTTGAGGTGCGCTATATACGTAGTACGACTGTCGAATGTAAAGAACGACACGATAAAATAAAATAATTTAATTTTCAAAATAAAATATCTATATATATATATATATATATAAAGTACAAATAAAGTGAATTTTCAAATAAAGATACACGTGTAAAACAATGAGAAAATGTATATCGTCTCCTACGTTATAGCTTATAAAGTATAGTTTATAAAGTAGATGAAATTTCAAATGTATTTATGTGTGTGTGTGTGTGTGTGTGTGTGTGTGTGTGTGTGTGTAGAATGTAGCTTAACATGCTTTCAATAAATGATCGATTAATTTTCGATTGAAAATATTGGAAAAGTTGATTCGTCGTCTGCCAAATAAATTGACAGATTTGAATTAGTATCGGAAGTTTGGCAAATAATAATAGAGTAGCGTAATTCTGAATTGTCGAGTCCTGGTGATATAACGTAATTAATCCGACAATACGAATGAATGAATAGGCCGAGGGGCAATAGTGGGAAGCAAATGGGATTGGCAAACCATTAGATATCGTAATTATTAAAGGGTTGAACGATGCTACAAAGGCAGCGTGCAGTGAGGTTGAGCAAGTGACGAGTTCCAATAGTGTGCCTAATCGTACGTCTTTACGTTCTCGTAGAATCACTCATCCTGCAGCTTCGCACACAAAATAAGGAGATTGAGAAGTGGAGATGAGCTTGAGTTGAAGCTTCGTGGTGGAGGAGGAAGAAAAGGAAAGGGAGGAAGACGGCCGACGATCGTAAGCGCGCGCTCACCGCTAGGAAGTAGGAACGTGAAAATTTCAAGTTCGCAGCAGCCCGGGTGAAGCCGCCGCGGGACGGTGAGGCAAAAAGGTGAGAGCGCCGTTTCCCCGATCGAATCTAGTTCGAGCGATAAAACGGCCGACTGGCGTCGGGTGTTCCGCGAACGCGGCCCACCGCCACAGCCGGTGCTCGTGCCCCACGCACCTATATGAGATTCGCGTAAGCTATAGCGGCGCTCAGTCGCAGAGCCTCGCGCGTCGTAGGAGCAGCTCCTTGCCACCCACTCGCTCGTCTTCCCGAGGCTCAACCGCCGCCGAGTCGACCTCCTCACCGTGCCCCGGCATCGTCAGGAGAGAGGGAGCTCCGAGAGAGCTTGGCGCCCCCTTCAGCCCTCCGAGTTTTCTCCAGCTGCTGGTGAGCCTTCAGGGTGAGTCCTTTGTCCCGTCCTATCGGCAATCTCCATTAATTCAGTGCTCGGCTCCTCTCATTATCCGATACGCTGTTTACGAGTCTCCTACGTCAGCCCCCTCCCCGTCTGCGGGACCATCATCCTAGATCCTTCGACTGTTTTCCTGGGCGTCGCTGAGGGAACGGCTCGCGATCCTTTCAAACGCTAACCGATTGCAGCGAGTCAGTATTAATTCCCAATTATTACCATCAAGGCTTCGTAATGCCTTATTATTATTAACTTTATAATACCTTCGAGCTGAGCCAAGTGGCAATTTATGTCTCGCGTATTTGATGAAAATTGTGAGCCGAGTGACTGTTTTAATTGCGCGTTGAAGCATGTAATCATTCGTTTTAATGGTATAAACAAGTAAACAAAAAGTAGGTCTAACGAGACTTTTACGATTTAAAACTGAAATATTGAATGTGACGAAAAGGTCTCGCCGCTTTCGAAAATCAAAAGACCTTCGCTTTTTTTTTCATAACAAACTTACGTAAAGGGAGTTCGGAAAAATTATACTAACAACGTAAGGACAACAATAACGGCAATAACGACGATTAAGATGACGATGACGATGACGACGACGACGACAAACAATAATAAAAACAATAATAACTTGTTTTCGTTATAAAATTGGAACTCTGCAAATAAATAAATAAATAAATAAATAAATAAATAAATAAATAAATAAATAAATAAATAAATAAATAAATAAATAAATAAATAAATAAATAAATAAATAAATAAATAAATAAATAAATAAATAAATAAATAAATAAATAAATAAATAAATAAATAAATAAATAAATAAATAAATAAATAAATAAATAAATAAATAAATAAATAAATAAATAAATAAATAAATAAATAAATAAATAAATAAATAAATAAATAAATAAATAAATAAATAAATAAATAAATAAATAAATAAATAAATAAATAAATAAATAAATAAATAAATAAATAAATAAATAAATAAATAAATAAATAAATAAATAAATAAATAAATAAATAAATAAATAAATAAATAAATAAATAAATAAATAAATAAATAAATAAATAAATAAATAAATAAATAAATAAATAAATAAATAAATAAATAAATAAATAAATAAATAAATAAATAAATAAATAAATAAATAAATAAATAAATAAATAAATAAATAAATAAATAAATAAATATATATATATATATATTTACGTAGAATAATCTATTCGCGTATAGAAGTACACATGTATAAACGTATATACATAAGCTCTGTTGGCTCAGTAGGTTCAACAGGTGTTTAAATCAAATAATTTTTACGGTATTTATACATCGCTCGCTATGCGTTTGCACAGATTTGAGTGATTAATATTTAGTTCGATCGCATTATTAAAAAAAAGAAAATAAAAAGAAAAAAAAGGCGTTATAACATCATTTATAAATACAAGTTATATGCAGAGAATAAATTCAAGGCGAATTGCCTAGAGTGCTCATTACAACAGCTTTTATCCGTTATAATAGTCACAGACAAATATGGAATGATCTTTCGAGATTCTATCGACTTTTAATTGATACATAAAATACGACGCGCGTCCAACCAATTGTTTTTCGTACATGATTAACTTATCTCTTGAATGACGTTGACTTGAAATTTTATGTTCGTTTTCTCATTATTATTGTTAAAAGAGCGAATAATGCGGTATGATCACACTTTTGAGGCATCACGAGCTTATTCATCGACAGAATGGTCAAAACACGTTGCGGCCTAAAATTACTCGGCAAATATTTACATTTGAATAAAGGCGCTTACTTTGGATGAGAGGAGCCCAAACTTGGACGTAAACATAGTAACTTTACGTTGTAGAATGTAGGAAGGTATAATGAAGCTCGAGCGAGCGAGTCATTAATGTTCGACCTACGTAACTGCAATCACGATAATTAAGGGAAGAGCAATGAAAAATGGGAAGAAAAGTGGCAAATCGAAAAAGAAGCATAGTTGTTGCTTAGCTATCGAGGACGTGTCGGTTTAGTGTGCTTATTCGTAACAATTTGTCGTATTCCTGGCGAGTTACGTGGATAATTACGTAAGTTGGGCTTTCCGAGGATCCGCTTAAGATTCGAGTTGGACGAGATGGAATGGCTTCATGCGCTGCAAACTATATTCGGAAAAGCCGAGCGTAAATCCACTAAAGTCTGCTGTTACTCGGGCAAAACCACCTTTTTCTTTTTCCGTTGCAAATGGCCAATTGAAAGTTACAATCTATCCGCAATACACGCTCATATCTGGCTCTGAGAATGCTGTTTTTTCTCGTCCGCTATATTTTGTTGATCGCCCCATGGCTTCGAAATGTTGATTATTTTTGCATCGAAGCAACGACGTAAATAAATTATGCTTTCAATCGGCGCTGTGTTTCACAAGATAATTAGAGTCAGTTTGAAAATCAGTTTGACATCAGCTTGAACTCAAAAAAGTTTAAGCAATTTATTATAAATATTTAAAGACTAAATATAAATAAGTAAATTATACTAAGACAACATTTATTTACTGATAATATACTCTTTAAATGTTACTAGTTCTTTAAAACATTAATTAATTGTACCGAAGGATAAGTCTTCTGTATTACGCTTTTATTCCTTTTTCGTTATTATCTTTCTTACACTTTTTGCATTACATAACTATAAATTATGCTTCTGCTACATAATGTATATATATATATATATATATATATATATATATATATATATATCTGTGTGTGTGTATTTGTTTAAAGAAAAGTTTGCATTTTATTTTATCCTGTACGTAAGGTAAATGTTGAGATTAAAATTTTTACGTTCATTCAATAGAATTGCTAAAATTCACACAACATTTTAATAAAAATCCAATGCTTACGTTCTGAAAGACATTATTTATTATTAGAATCTATCTAAAGAAAATGAATAGCTCGTAAAAATTACAATTATATGTATTCCCAAAGTCATTTACTCCAATTACAATAAACATTGTGTATAAAACTACAATTCTTTACTCATTACATTTTACATGGAGAAATCGTATAACTCATAACGGGAAGTAAATAGATGAATATAAAGTTATTCCACTAACTCGTTAATTAGATATAAAATGAAGGAAGTTCAGAATTTATAATTTCTAAAATTGTTGTAAACTATATACCGTGGCGTCGTTAACTTATAGTCGTATCGAATAAAAAAATTATCGAAACGGTAAACTTCTGTAAATTCTGAAGTCGACTACTAACATTTGCTCGAGATGCTCACAACCGATGATCGATACACACCAATCATTTCTCTATAGAAGAATGTCACTACTTCGTTTTATTCTGAAAAAGTGGAACACTAGACGATTTACCGGTTTCCAACGTCGTTTTCTATGTGCACAGTATTTACACATAAGATGCCTACGCGCGCACTCCCTAATCGGACAAAACATAGCCTGCACCTGAAAAGTAGAATGATCAGGTTAGCAGACCGATATTTTATGTTAGATGAGAGATACAGAGTGATGGAGATAGATAAACATATCGATAGAACGGTAAGCAGTTAGATAGGTAAACAGATAAACATACAGACATATAGATTGACAGATAGATTAGATAGATAAAGATATATAGATGCATATATATATATATATATATATATATATATGCCTAAAGAATGAGAGAGAGAGAGAGAGAGTATAGATGATAAGCAGATCAATTTGACACATGTTGATTATTTAGAAACGAAAAGCCGCGTGTGCTGGATACTTCGTTGTGGTTACAGATGCGCTAACTATTTTATTGCGACTATAAAGTTATATTATTCTGCACCTACGTATGCAAACTTAAGTATCTTTCAAATACCAGATAGCAATTATTATTGTAAAGAATTCTTAATGTATCGAGAAACACAAAGATTAATAGACTTTAACTTAATTCATGTCGAATTACATATAACCTAAAGAAATTCCGAGAACAGTTTATAATAAAATAGCCATGAAAAAGATACACATACTTTTAATTAATCTGTGAATCATATTTCTTTAAATCATAGTAAAAGAAGGATGTTTAAGCGATTTGAAATTCATATATATTTATACATTCAATATTCTCTTCATATTTTATTTTAAATTAACTTACATGTATTAATAAATTTTAGTAAGGTTGAAATCATGTTTTTTAAATAGCTTCAGCTATTTAAAACATATTTCTTATATCTTTCATTCAGTGTTTATGACTTTCCTTATCTGTATAAATGGTATTTTCACACCAAGATTGAAAAAAAAACAAAAACAAAAAAAAACAAAAAAAAACGATCCAGGGTACATATGAAATTAATGTTTATTTTTTTATTAAATTAATCAAACAAATAATCGATTTTTATCCAAATCTTTTTTATTGTATAAGAAATATTTATATTTAAAATTTGTAGTAAAAAATCAGACAAAACTTTAGATTGTTTTAAAATTATTGTAAATTTAATTTAACAGTATTTATAATTATTAAATTTCTATTAAAAACGAAAAGTATAAAATATGTATCCATATTTAAATATTTTCTTGATAATAATATCTACTCTATATGTTTTAATTTACATTTTTGTATAAGATTCATGAAATATTTCCTATTTATGAAATATAAACAAGGACGATTAAATTATATAGCTCAAGAACACATCGCGCAGAATAAAAAAAAATAATAAATGATTATAAATTACATACTGGCAAGGATAATTAAATTAAAATTAAAAATTGTCATCTGTTTATTTCCTGAGTCTCGTTATGCATTAATAATATTCACAATTAACTAAAATAACTAAGCTCCATTAAGCATTGCATTATACCGTTTAGAAACGCTGACTGTAAATCTGTTGTTCACTTACGATACTAAAAAGTATACATAAGTATAGATGTCAATCATTTCATTTATGTTAAAGTACTGTAATCATAAAGCGAAATAATGAGTATTTTTATGTACCTTTTTTAAAAATAATTAGC